CTCTGGCTGCCCAGTAACACTGGTTGTCTGAAATGCAGGAGGAATACAAAAGAAATGGAAATGGAGCTTGAACCCTCATGACTGAGCACTTAAACTTGGCCCCATATTACTAAGAGAAGATAATTTCTTCTACCAAAGCAGCTGAAATACATGACACAGGGGAACTTGTTCTCAAAATCCCCTTCCAGCTTTTCTGAAATACAAACAACAGATAAGAGGTCAGGACAGAAACACCTGGAAAGAATGAAGCCAAGCAGACAAGTTGTTGACCTGTAAACAAGCAGGCAGATATTTTACTACTTTGAACGTAGTTTAAAAATAAGGAGAATACTGTGGAAGAATGTCTAGTTTCCTAATTTATGTAGTGGAAATAATATTCTGTTCCTAGAAGACTAGGAAACAGGACAGCGGAAGAGGTTTTAAAAACATGCAGAATTTCAGAATTTAGTGTTTTGTTTTTAAATGCTGCATATTTTTTAAACCATGGAGCCAGGAGAGGAAGAATGCTCCCAATGCTTCAGCTATGTTGTTTCCTGATAATATCTTGTACTCTTGGACCAAATTGCTCTAGCATGAAAAACTTGTCTTTCCTAAGATTTCCATAAAAAAAGAGACTCAGCAATCGAAAATCAACCAACCAACCTAAGCATGAGGGTTGCTGTCCACTGCAGATGGATTTTGCTTTTATGTGTAAGGCTGTTTTAAGTCATCAGTGTAAATTTTCCAGGGAATGGTCTTCATTAGTTTTCCTTTAAACTTCCCTTCAGCTCACTGATACCCTTAACTTTCTCCTCTCAACAGAGCCAATGTCAGACCTCTTCTGTTTCTCCCTACTTTGTTTTGCACAAGTTTATGCATCTTCAACAAATCAGTTCATGACGCTCTCTGCTTTCTGGGGGGGAACCTGTGATCCTTGTTTACATATAGTATCTGAGGTATAACAAAATATTTGAAAGTATCTCATGCAGTTACTTGGATATAATAGTGCTCTTGATAAGTTAATGGTATTTATTGGCTTTTATAAAACCCTGTCTCAAGTTCTTGAGGCCTGCAATTCAAATTTTCTCTCTCTGTTTTGTTTCTTTTCTTTATAGCGCTACTATGAAACCTAAAGTGCCACCTCCTTTACCACCAAAGGTTAGTGAGAGGGATTTGGTTGCTCAGCAGAATGCACTTTAAATAAATAAATAAATTGAGAATATTTAAATTACTGTATTGGTGGCCCTTTACTTGTGAAAATTTGAGGCTCCAATGCTGCATGTGTGGTTTTTTCCTCACTAATAAATGGCATAGATGCTTTGAATCTTTTTTCATTATTTTTTGATTATTACTATGTCTCTTTCAGCCTAAATCCATATTTATCCCCCAAGAAACTTATTCTTCTGAAAATGAAAATCAAGGGACAATCAAGAGATGCCCAACATCAGAGAGTCCAGCAAAATCTGCATCTCATGTTCCACCCAGACCACCACCTCCTCGGTTACCTCCACAGAAATCTCATCCTTTAGGTAACAAAAGTTACCCCAGGGAGTATACAAGTATTCCTTAAATAATCTAATGTGATTTTATTTCTGTATTCTTAACTGTGCACACATTAAAAGCTATTGAGGTAATTTTTCTATGGTGGGCAAGTTACAAGAAGTGCATGAAGCCAAAATTCATTAAGAAAGTGTGCTTTAACTCTTAAGAGGGTCAAATGTAGCTTCTATCAAAGTCACTGACACAATTCCTGCTGATGCCATTGGTGACATAATTGCTTTCCTAAGCAACAGGCTTATAATATAGAGTATCAGGATTGGTCAAAAAGTATGTTTGTAGGTTTCAAGTTTAGTGTGTCAGCTGTTGTTACAATTTGTCATTTCAAGAATAGAGTTCTGCTTTCAAAGTTTGCTTTTGTAAATAATGAACTGGGTTGGAGAGTATAGGAGGTAATTGTGTTTGTTTGCTGTCTGCTCTGACTGTTCATGTTATGCCTTTGTCAGTCTAATGTCTTGAGAGTTGTCTTGGGCTGGCTTCTCTCAAGCAAGCTCAATGTCTGCCTCTTAATTGTTACTTTGGTAGCTTTTCCTTGCTTCATACTTAGTACTGCAGTTGATTTGCTAAAGATTTGACTCTAACAAGGCAGTGTTTCTAAGGAATCAATAGTTGAAGTGTTAGCTGTTGGCAAGTATTTCTAAAGAATAGAAATTCACATTTTCCCTGATAACTGTGGCTGCATCCCTTTCTGTGCTCCTGTTAGAGTTGTTAGATTAGAGTTATTATGTTAGAGTTGTTACGTTAATTACCAAAAATTAATGGACTGAGATTGAATGTGACTTGATGGGTATGTGTACATGTAAGGACATGCATGTTTCAGAAGTAAATTTGGGTATTTTATACTATTGTATCTAGTATATGTTCTGACTTAATTGGACATTCTGGCCCACTTAAAAGACTTTTTATGCTAGATTACTCTTTGAAGTGAAGGCAGAGGAACACATTCTTAACTGTGAATCTTTCTAGGTAATGGAGTCACTTCTGTGCAATTAAATGGTGAAAGAGAGGAACTGCCACAACAAAATGAAGCTAGAGACACTAACTTTTCAAGGAAAGAAAAGAAGGAAATACTGGTAGGTATTTAAGCTTCTGGATATCCTTTTACAGATGTTGTGACTGTTCTACGTGTGCAAGGAAAAGGAGCAGGCATGCCCTTTAATATGGAAATTAAGCTAGATGGCATCTTGTTTACTTTGAATCAAAACACAGTTTTCCTTGATTGTCTAGTTGTGGTACAGCCTTATGCTGAAGTTTGTCAGTGTTTCATTTTTCCTTAGAAACAAACATAATCACAAATATATCCAATTTTCTTGGTGTTTCACACACTTGAGCGACATAATGAGCCATGTCTTGTGCAGTACTGAGCAGTGACTGTTTAAGCAAACGGGGAAATGAGGGAATGGAGTATGCTGTGGTTAGACTAGATTAACTATAACATGAGACTGCCCTCTTTGAGGGCTCCTTCCAAGTGTAAGGCTGGAAATTTAATTTTTTTTTTTTTTTTTTTTGTGAGAAGTGAAGAGGAAATAGACTAGAACTAGACTCTTTGTTTTGTTTTAAGGAAGTGCCAGCAATACTGGCAGTATTTTGGAAAGTAGGATTACCTGGACAGCTTTGAACTTGTCATTTGAAATTGTGTGTTTGAAGTTTAGTTGTAAAATGGGTTTGTTTAGAAGCTTGTTTGTGCTAGGAGAAATTGATACTGACACAAGAAAGTGCATGTAGTGCTGAGTGGTGACATTTAATGCTTTAATACTAAAGGGTTGAGCAATTGTTACAGTATTGCTTAAACTCTCTAGTACTGGAAATGGCATTCTTACAGGCACTGCTGTAAGAATGTGTGAAAATGTTGCACAAGACTGTGCAAACATTCAGAGAGGAGGTATTAGGGAATCATAGTGGAAATTTTAATGAAAGACAATTACACTGAGTGTTTGTGGTTATGCTGTGTGTGGGGAGCATGTTCAAGCATAGTGTGCGTGTGAGTGTAAACATACTTTTAAATTTTATTTTCTAGAAACCAATTAGTAACGGCCTTCCTCCCACACCTAAAGTACATGTGAGTATTCCTGAGTCACACAAATGCATGTTGGGAGCAGGGTGAAACAGCACATTTTTTGAATGTTTGTAGTATTTGCTTTTTTACTTAAAAAATCTAATATGACTTAGCAATGCTAAGCCAGTGGTATGAATCTTAACCTTTTGTTACTACCTGAAGTAAAAATAATCCTTTTGGGAAGATCATATTTTAATTTTTTTGTTTGTATTTAATATTTTTTCTTCTACAGATGGGTGCTTGCTTTTCAAAGGTTTTCAATGGCTGTCCATTAAAAATTCATTGTGCAACATCTTGGATAAATCCAGATACAAGAGGTACTATATGATGAGTATTTTACCCATTTTGTCCTCTCCTTGAATGTCACAGGTACTTAGATGAGCAGGACTATTCCTTTTAAAACAAACATATAAGCAGGAGTTGTTCTTTAATTACGCCACTGCTGTCTAAAGTTGTGTTGTTCTTAAGATATATTGGGTGAAGTTTTTTGCTTTGATTGAAAAGAATAAATTACATATTGAAGTTAAAGACTCTTCTCAACATTTTAGTCTAGAAGAAGACAATCTTAATTTTTTAGTAAAAAAATCTGACTTTTTGAGGTCTTAGCTGAGATCTTTCTGGCCCTTCAGGATTCTGCAGCTGGTTTCTTTTTTTTTTTTTTTTTTTTTTTTTCTCATAAATTTTAGTGCTTTAATATCTAGCCTGATATAAAAAGGATAGTTGGTAATATTGTATTCACTTTGCCTGCCATTACTCCCTTTGATTTTAAGCTATATAGGCATACTACTGAGCTGGTCAGCAAGAAAATATCTGGATTTATTTTAGAAACTGGAATTAGGGAAGGGTAAATCCTTAGCAGTTGACTTCATCTCATAGGAGATGTCTGCCTTGTTTGCATGCCTATGTACAATCCAGGGATTTGATTATGTTCAAGAGGTGAGGCACCCGTACGCTCCTGAGAAAATGTTCAAGTCACTACTGCTGTAGAAGTACTCTCAAAGAAGGCAATGGATATTTCCATAATATATGGAAATGTCTAAGTAGAATATGCTGAAATTATTCCCATGATTTCCTGCTTGTGGTTGTATCGCTTTAAAAAAAAAAAAATCAATTATTACTCAAAAAAACCACTGAGCTTTCCTAATGACTTAAAACAGCCCCATTCATAAATTAAAGCTTTCTTATCAGGATTAATTTTCCTTGCTTTCAAATACTGTAACTATTTTATCTGGGTTTGTTTCTGTGTGTGTAGATGTTGTTTTTTTGGTGAAGGTGTACATACCTTCCTGAATCAAGATTTCTACCTCTTTTTATGTTTACAGATCAGTACTTGATATTTGGAGCAGAAGAAGGTATTTACACACTGAACCTCAATGAACTTCATGAAACATCAATGGAGCAGGTGTATTTCTGGTTTAAAAAATACATCACATTTTTAACCCCTGAGATTAATGTTGTATAATCCTTGTAAAAAATGGTTTTTACTATATTTACATAGGCACTAGCTACACTGAGAATTACCTTAAATATTTGCTATTGAGGATAATTTTCAGTCATATTTGTGTTTGTAGGCTGAACCGTGTTTATATAGGAGATCTTCATCTATCTGTGTTTTGAACTTCATAGTGCATTGTTCTGCAGTTAAATGATTAGGTAAATAGTATGGAATTTCCCTGATGCATTTGGATGAAAGTTTCTATTTTCCTTAAAACTTCATTACAGTACATAATTTTTGCAACAAACATTGTGATTCAGCTACAGGAAAGCAAGGAGATCCTTTATTCACAGGAGTCTGTTCTTGTGGTCTTGAAAGCAGCTTTGCTGATGAGATTCAGCTTACTGAATTCCACTTAAAGGTCTGTCTTTGCAAAGTCTTTCAAGAAGTAATTTTTTTAAGGGATGCTGGGGAGGGGAAAATGCAAGTTGCAGGCCTTTCTGTATTCTCCAGCTCTTTTGTTACTCTCTAAGAGACTTGTTTTCTTTCTTGCCTTCTCCCTACCATAGGGAGCTGTGCACCCGCCATCAAGATGGAGGAATTTGCAAGGACAGCCTTCACACTGTACGCTGGAGGCACTGGTGTTTGTTCATCCTCCAGGGTCCATGCATTTTAGAGATGTCTGTTTTGTTGAGAGGGAGGCCTAGTTGAACTGAGCTCAGTGTAACCCATAATCATACTGGTGCTCGAGTTACCTCATTTAAACTTAGCTCAGGTACCACTCTGCTGCTGTACTGCAGTTGTAACAACTACCCTGAGGAATATCACTAATGCAATCATAATTCTTATAGGCCAGGTAAACTAAGGAAAGGTTTGGATTTTTTCTTGACTGTTTGGGGTTTGGTTTAACTGGCAAGGAAGGAGAAGAGCTGTAATGAAAATCACGTAGTCTGCTGCCTAGTGAGCTTTCAGGGAAATGTTTTAATAAGCACTTAGAGACAAGAAGAAATGCTTGCTAACGCAGCCAGTCATGTGTGGATCAAGGAATGAGTGACAGGTCAATTAACCTGCTCATTTGAAGAATTGATGTTCCTTAATCCTCAGATCCAAACCTACTGAGTCACAATATGCTCATGTACCTACAAAAGATCAATCAACCTTGCACATTAAATCTTGATACAAGCAGTGTCGTAGATTATTACCATAGGTGTTTCTTAAAGTGTGTTTAGGTTGTGAGAAGATTTCAGGAATAGAAGTGCACCATCTCTGCTAAGCATTTATTGCATCATTATTTATGATAAAAGTCAGTAGGGCTTTAATAGCATTTCCGAGTTTTGTTTTATGTCATTTATTACTCTCACTCTGATTCAACTCAGCATAAAAGCAGAAGTAGTATCCTTCATTATTTTTCTCTGTACTTCACCAGTGGACAAAAGAGACAAAATACACCTTTCCAGGAGTTAGAATAGCTACAGGGTTAATATTTTATTCTTTTTTTGTTTTTTGAAGAGTTGTGTTTTGTTTTCTTTTGTGGTGTTTTTTTTTGGTTTTTTTTTTTTTTTTTTTGGTTGGTTGGGTTTTTTTTGTGGGTTTTTTTTGGCTTTTTGAGCAAAACAGTTGTCCTCCTGAGTGGTCTATCTAGCCCAATAGTCTCTTTCCCAAAGTGGCACTGGGAAGTGTCAATGAGCTTAGTCACTGTGTATTCTCCTCAGACTCCACTTGAGTCATTGAATCAGGGATGTTGGAGGATCCTTGCCTATTTTTTGTCCCCTTTTGGACCTCTTGAGCATGAGTATGTCTCATCCCTTGTTTGTGTTGGTACTTCCCACCTCTGTGACATCGTGTGTCAATAAGTTCCAGAACTTAGGTGAGAAGAGGGGAAAAAAAAGTAGTTGTGGATTTTTTGGGCTTTTTTAAGGGATGTCTTGTTGCTTTCACCCCCATCTTTTTAGGAATTGCAGAATTTGACAAAGAAACAGTTCTGCCTTGAACATTTGTTGCACTCATTCATCACTTAAGTGAAATGTGTAATCATGAAGGTGAAGAATCCCTTCAAAGTGCCAGTTTTAATTGTTTCAAGAGATTTGGACTGTCACAGGCTTTAGAACGGCTGTGGTTTGTTGACCAGTCTTGATTTACTGGAGTTTGTTGTTGAACTTTTCTTCTTTGAAGGAGAAAATTCAGTGGTTTTTGAATTTTTTGGAAAAGGGTTGATTGGTCTTTGTAATGACATCTTGTGGTACATAATATACCTGAAGACAGGAATATAAAATGTGCTAATTGTCTAAATGTTAATTCATATATTAAATATAGCGTGTGTGCCTAGGATTTACTCTGAATTAACTCTGGAATCCAGGTAAACATTACTTGGCTTAAACTTACTTCTCCTGCAAAAAGCAAGTCAGTATTAGCTTTGTCCTGTCATCTAAGCAGATACTAATTGATAATTGTCTTATGTATATCAAATTGAATGCTACTTCTTTGGTTTTCCTTCCATTTATCAGCTATTTCCTCGAAGATGTACCTGGTTATATGTCATGAACAATTGTTTGTTATCAATATCTGGTAAGTTACTGTGCTGTCTTTCAGTGGTAGCACTGGTAAACACTTGGTTTCGTATTTGAAGTGTGGTTTGTTTTCTAATTGCCAGGTAAAGCTTCTCAGCTTTATTCCCATAATCTGCCAGGACTCTTTGATTATGCAAGGCAAATGCAAAAGTTACCTGTTGCTATTCCAGCACATAAACTCCCTGACCGAATACTTCCCAGGTAAATACACATCATTGGATATATCAGAGTATCTTAACTCTGGGAGTTCAGGAGCTGCTTGTGAAGCTCTGGGAACACCAAATAGGGGGGGGGACTGTTCACAGATTGCAGCAAATGACTCATTTGCATTAATCAGAGGGTTGAGCCCTACATTTACACAGATCAGGATGTGAATTTCTCTTGTTAGAGAAATGGATTTTGGTACACCTTAACTTCTGGTTAGGAAAGCTCTTGTTTCTGGGTATAGCTCTTTTCAGGTATAGTCTGTTGTGGTAAATCCTGCTTGTACTTGGTGCTGAACAAAAGCTATGGCCTGCAAAAAAATCAACCCTGTCCTGGCCAGAACCAGGACACTGCCAAGCAAGCCTTCATAGTAGCCCATTCAAATCCCAGCAGAAGAAGGTAGTAACACTAATCTAGTTTGGAGAAAAACCTTTGATTCATAAAGTGTATAGTGAGACACTGGTTCTTCTAATAGAATAGGATTTCTGTTAGGAAATTGTATTATAGAAGAATGGATTCTCTGCTACCTTTGGTTCTATTAAAAGTCTATTAACATGTAATTCTTGGGTTCAGGAAACGCTGCTTCTGTTCAGTTACCTGTAAACATAATGGTGCAACACTTGTCTGAAAACTGTGTTCTTCCTAGCGGGAAAATTCTAAATAACTAAGAGAACTTGTGCTTTGATTTGTTATCTTCTGTGTACTTGGACTATTGTTCTGCTCCTCTCTTCCAAATTTGACTTTGGTGGGTGACTTTGGCTTGAGGACTGAATCAGCAGTGGACTAATAATCATAATTACCATAAGGATTGTGCTAGGAAAACCAGACTAGATTCTGCCTGGAATGGTACCTCACGTAAGTTGCAGAGGACTCAGAAAATTTCTTGTCCAGTCATGTCACTTCCCAGGAAAAATGCAGTACAACCTGAAAGTGAGTGCCAAGCCAGTCATTCAAAGGCCGGAAAGATTAATTTAAATAATCTGTTTTCCTCTTTTACCTCTGGCTGTAGAGTATTAGGGTAGTCACATTTAGCCAGGCAGAAGACACTTTTGAAGTATGTAGGGGAATGTAATTTTTTCTACCAGACCATAAAGTATATTCTTAAACAAGTTTCTGGATACTATGATGGTGAGTGCTACATGCAAAATGGTAAAAGCAGAGGTTTTGGTAGAGAAAAGGCAAAGCAAAATTGAATTTGAAGTAATTTGTGAGGATTTATATATTCATTTGCAAAATGTTCTAACCTCAATTTATGATACTTGGCAGGCAGACATTCAGTAGCAGAAAATATGTCTGTGATAATGACAAACAGATGTCTCTCTCCTTTCTAGCTTCTTTCCCTGGAGTGTCCTTGAGCAGTTCCTTTCAAGCCTCCATGACTTGTTCCAATGAAAATCTGTGACAAGTACTCAGTTTTCATGCTGTTCAGTCCTTTTGCATTATCAGTCACTTCTGGACAGTTCCATTTGAAATGTTACACAACTGTTTTCCCAATTCATAGCTTTGAGTGCAGCATCTGTCTATCAATCTATTTATTCCTATCTTTTCTACAGCATCAAATTAGTTATTTTTATTGTTAAGAGTACTGTGACCAGTCTGAATAGTGCCTGTTGTCTTCTGATATATGTAGAAACTCTGAGCCCTGTTACCAGCAAATAACATTTTGACTTATCTGACAACTTTTCACATTATTGTTTCCATGATTTCACAAGAAATATACAAACTTTTATTTTTTAGTTTTTTGGTGTAGCAGATATTTTTCTATCCGTGAATGTCAAAAAAGAAAATTCACTCAGTTGTTTCAGTCGATCAATAATTTTGTGTTTAATCTTTTGTAGAAAGTTTGCGGTATCTACGAAAATTCCTGACACTAAATGGTGTCAAAAGTGTTGTGTTGGTAAGTGAAGATCTGGAGAACAGGTGTGAGGGGGCAGCACAAATGGTGGCAGTAATAAGATTATTGAGTGAAGTGTAGGAGGTAAAGGGAGAAGAGACTTTTGTCATTATTACGAAGCTGTGCATTTGCAGATGGTGAGCTCATTCAGGTTAGTCCTTGGGTTTAAGCAGTGAAAACTTCCCCGTTTAGCTCTTTAGATTTAAAGACAGTTTACAAGAAATGCAGAGAAGCAGAATGATGTCAAAATTCAAACCAATTCTCAAGAAGAACCTAATCTCTGTGGATGGAGAAACTTAGAGAAGTTGCCATCAGGATTAAGCTACCTGCATTCCTAGCAGAAGTTTCAGTTATCAATGCTGGGTGATAAAAAGCAAAAGAGTATTTTTAATTCTTTGAGGACAGTGTTGTCTCTGAAGCCTTTATAATGTGTTTAGGAATGTGGCAGCTACCAAAGTCTCAAAGCTGCACTGTATTTAAAGACACGTTCTAAAAGGGAGGCAGATACATTAAAAAAAACACAAACCATTATGAGTGTTAATGAATGCTGCAGGGAACAAACACTCATGGGATGACAGGGTTGAAGTGACAGGGGTCAGAATAGGTAAAAACTGTGACCTTCTGACAGAAAAATTAATTTGGAAGTCCCTATGTTTCTAGGTTTCTGTTCAAACAAGAAGCCTCGTGTGTGCTCTTCTGTATTTCTGTGATTCCTGTCCTGCCAGGCACAGAATTTAACAGGGGTGCTGTGCTACTTGACGTTTTAAGGGGAGTCTTCATATTCAGAGATAGCTCAGCCTCCTGAGCCTGGAGCCCTCTGCATGATAGACGTGAGGGATAATTTGAGAACACAGCAAGGGTGGCTTTAAGAGTCCTACTTTTTGTGACTTGAGCCTCCATTCCTGTTGGCACATAAGTCTACTTTTGGCCTCAGGGCAGCAGGAGTGCCACAGGAGGCAGAAAAAGATGAGAACTTCTGGTCTTCTTTCTGCACCTTACAGGCATTGGTGATTGTTTTGTGGTTCTGCTGCCGAGTTCAGCCTTACTCAGGGTCACACCAAGCGTTATTTGCTGCACTTTGCAATCAGTCTGATGTTGAGTGAGAACTTGAATTAATGAAATAAAGCACTGATGTTTAAGGTGCCAAGAGATTGCTGATGAGTTTCTGTGGCTATAAGGTAGTGTGAGCATATTTCACTTCTGTGGGTAGTTCTGGATTGTAGAAGCTTGTAATCGAAACTTTGTTGCTTAATTGCCTGATGGCCCACAGTCACTTTACTGCACAGTAAAATCTGGTCTTTAGATGTATTTGTACAAAGTGCAAAATAGCACTTGATTGTCTTACATCAAATTTTGGCAGTGCTTAAGGAATGAAATTTTGTCAGTATTGTAGAATTGAAGTTGTGAAACTTCACAGGGCCTGACTTTTCAACTCTGTTGTTCTCTGCCAGTTTTTAATTGAGTTCTGACAATGGAAGAGCAGGACTTCCTCCTCTTCTATTGTTCTTCAGTTTCAACTGGATTTCCTGATGGTCTAGAATTGTTCATTAGAATTACAGAACTCCTGGATTTCAGACTGGCTGTGAGAATGCTTGAAAAGCAGCTGAACTGTTCACTGCCTGCTAGGTAACTGTGTGTTATAGAAAAAGCTATTCTTTAACAGCTTGCTTGTGGTGATTTTGAGACAGCCTAGGCAAACCAACACAGTAGACCAAAGACACTCCCAAGTGTGTGTGCAATCAGCTATTTTTTACATATATAAAAGATTAGAGTGGGGCTGGTGGGTATTTTCCAAAAGAAAAGGGACTGTTACATAGTTGGAAATAGTTTATAATTTGCATGTGCTTAGTACACTAATATTCTCTATCCTTTCTTGGCAGTGAGAAATCCCTACACAGGCCACAAGTACCTTTGTGGAGCACTACAGTCTAGCATTGTTTTGTTAGAATGGGTTGAACCAATGCAAAAATTTATGTTAATCAAGGTAAAATTACAATTACTCTCATGTTGTCTTCTAGTTATCTTGTAGTAGCTTGTTAAGAATAAGTATTAGCCATTTTTTGATTTATTAGACTTCTCTTGTTTTCTATTATATTGAAAATAACTACTTAAATATGTAATGTATTAACTGACTCAAAATAAATGTTCATGTTTTTGCGGTGCACTTCAGTTAGAGAACCAAGCCCTTTACTCCATGAACATTGCCTTTCAGTTGCACAATAGAAAACTGAGGCTGGCAGGCTGAGACATGGGTTAACAGTGGTCTTGCTCCCATACTAGAGAGAAAGTGACCATTTGTTCTATGTTTTTTGACACTGAGGTGCCCAGAAATGCTTGTTATCTCCCCATATGACATCACCTGGAGAGACAGAGCCAGGGTGGGCTCATGTTTCTAAAAAGGCAGCTGCTACAGCTGGATCAACCTGGAAGAGAAGGCTCAGAGGCTCAGTAGCCAGGGAGAGCAGTGATGAGCACTCTTATTGTCCATGGGCAGCTGCAAAGGACACACATGATAAAAGACATGCTGTTTTATTTTAACTGA